GCCGGCCGGCGGCGGCGGGAGGCCGGCGCGCGTGCGCAGCGGGCGCCCAGGCGGCGTGTGCGCGCGCCTGTGGCAGCTCTGAGGGGGGAACCCTGAGGGGAGCCCTGAGGGGGAACGCGGTCCCTCAGCCCTCCCCGCCCGCTGAGGGGACGCGGGTCTCCCTTTCTCGCCGTCTCTCCGCAGTGTTGTGCCCTCAGGGAGGGGAAAGAATTGCTACCGGCCCCACTGACACCCCCCCTCCCCTTCCTTTCCTGGTTGGTGGTGCGGCCACTCATCATCCCTACCCCTTCCCGAGGCTGCTGAGGGGAGGAGGGGGCTTCCTGTGGGTGCTCCTGGCGGTTTTATCACTTTTGCAGGTGTGTTTCTGTCAGGTTTTTAGTAGAAACAGCCGGGGAAATGTTTTCTCCTCTTCCCCTCTCTCTTTTTTTTTTTTTTTTTTTTTTTTTGCTTATGCCCATGAATAGCACCATTATACTTGGCGGGGTCACTTTTCTGAGAAAGACTGACCACTTTTACTTTGTTTCACGAAAGACCAGTTCCTGACCGAGCGCAGACACTGAGGAAACGGATTGGAGTGGAAAGAGTCTAAAAATCTCTTTTCCTGCCCTGAATTCAAAATAGCGTTTCTCTTACTGGAAAAACAAACATAAGCTCATTTTGGGTGTCTCTGTCTGTCTGCCTGTGGGATTGGCAATCCACACCTCCTGCAGATTCGGAGACCTCTCTGCCCCAGTTTAGGCTCTGGAGGTTATGCCTTAATTACAGAAAGCTGATCCGCTGTGACATCAATTTCCCTCTCCAGGGAAAACTCCGAGCTGTGAAATCCCAGCAGAGACCAGAGACAAATTGACGTTCTTTTTTTTTTTTTTTTTTTTTCGTCGTTTGCTTGGTGAGGGTTCACTCGGCGCCGCTCACCGCGGCCTTACCGGTGAGGGAGGGAGGGGGTTGAATTTGCCTCAGGCTTTGAGCTGCTCGTCCAGGGGTTTGTTGGTCGGTTTGGAAATTTGAGTTGCAAAAAAAAGTTGATTTCCGTGGGGTGGTGACAGGGAAGAAAACCCACATAGAAGGAATACCAAAATTGGGGAAGAAAAATCTC